AGCATCTTATTTACGCACCAGCAAGCGGACCACTTCATTGAGCTGTCCCGCTTAGTCCTGGCTGTGTATGAATATAGTGCACAGGAAACCCTGCTAGTGCTTCAAGTAGCTATTTATAAAGCGAACAATGAGGCAGTCGTCACTGTCTGTATGAAGCGGTAAACTTTCTTGATTGCTTTCATTATCTATTGATGAAGGAGATGCATGAGGTTAGCACTTCACAATTTGTATGTATTTCCCACCAACACCGATTTCGCGGTATGTTCTGCAGGAGTCCCACACATAATCAATTTATACACAACCACCACTTCAGCAGTTATTTTTGCAGCATGGTAGTACATTTCCCAGAGCATTGTTGCTGCCTATGGCAGCAACAATGCTCTGGGAAATGCAACAACGGCCAGCTTTTCTGGACCAGAGGCTGAGACTACCAAAACTGGTGCGTGACATCCTTGCAAACAAACGAAAAGCACTAATGGAGAGTTTGTCGCCATGCCGCGTACGATGCTCAGTGAAGCTATGGGTGCTTGGTAATCTGGTAAAGGAGGAAAATGATTTGTTTGTTTCAGATGAGGATGATGAGGAAATTATGGAGTTCCTCTCGAACACAAATACAAATGAAATGTGTCCGACCATGCCTAAACACCACCGTTGTGTGAGAAGTTTTGTGATGGTTAATCAGAGTGTTCCCTTCAAGGTAACTAAAAAAGCAAAACAAAAAAACACGGGACCGAAAATCCTCCACGAGTGAAGAACTGTTGACCATTTAACGATTGGCACATAGTTATGGGACATGCTGGCCAGGACGAGTTGATGATTGAGCCTCACAATGAATGTTTGAAGGTCTGTCGGCATGTTATCCATACGTTGCCTTCAACAGAACGGGACGATTGTGAACCGCACGGAATGACCTTCAAGATGGCTGTTTCAGTTCAAAACCCCATACAGATGTGAAACACTCCCTTTGACGATTGCTATGTACCTGGCAGAAAAGATGGGTGAGTGGCGGGAAGCTGAAGCAGGAAGACCCGCGCTCGACTTTCTCTTTACGTTGTGATCACGTTGCAGATGAAGAAATGCATGTGAGAGAGACGGCACGCCGCGAGTTTGGAGAGGTGGGTCAAGGATTCTTGAAGTGTTGGTGTCTGAAGAGATGTGTGGGGCAATGCAAATCCTTTCAACACGGGTTAGTGTACCAGTCGGTGTCATAGCGACACTTCGTGCAGCAGTAAATGAGTCGGAATGGCACATCTTTGTTCGACGGCATGAAAAAGGCTAGTGAAAAAAATAAGCCCGGTGCCTACAGCTTGAAGTGCAAGGCGAGCGAATGGAAGCAGTACTTAACTAAAATGCGGTGCGAAATCAACAACAGCAAGCGTTTTTGTTTACAAGTGTCACATTTCAAACACTTGATTACATGGAGTGTTTTGGTCTTTCAAACGGTAAAAGTCAAGACGCATAGGAAGGGAGCGGTTTGGGCAGTGACTTGCAAAGATTTTGCCCTGTGTGTGGGGGGGGGGGGGGGCTGAATTAAAAACCCTCAGAAACGTTATTGCGCAGCAGGCGGAAGACGTTTGACGCAGTTTAATCCACAACGGCATGTTTTCGGCATACCTGATATTAACTGGTCTACTCAATTTCGTCATTGCCCGGTTTTAGTTGCACGCATACGAATCAATGCGGGTAAAAGCCATAAGATGACCGCATACTCACTGCACCCTCCCTTTAATATCCCAGGGGTTATAGCCATTCACGTGGCATCTGGAATATAAATCTACTTTGGAAATAACTTTGAAATTCCGAAAGTTGCTAAGAGAGTTTGCAAACTGCCCAGCTTTTTCGAGTTCCCTAGCCCCCCCCCCCCCCCAGCGCGTTACCTTGCACATAAGGCCCTGTTTGGGGATGTTCCCTGGCGCGCAGACTTTCCGGCCGTCGCGTGAGCAGGTCCCGCACGGTCTCGTTGTACACCTCGACGCAGCTGGAGTGGATGGGATAAACAAAGTCAGTCCGTGCTCCTAGATTAAGTAAAGTACGTTGTAATGATCACCGGTTCTGGCCTTGCAGTGGAAGAAGCATGCGGCGTATTGCAACCCTCTAATTCAACTCTGCCGCGAGCAAAGATCCTGTTCACTGAAGCTGGGCCATAGCAGGCGTGCTGGTTTGCGTGAGATGGCCGTTAGCAGCGCTTTCTATGACATTAGCTCGCATAAATGCAAGCTTACCATGACATCAGCTCACATTACTGCCAACGACGGGCTTGAATAGCAAGAAAAAGGCAACAGAAAATGATATGCAGTATGAAGCCCGCGTGCATGCGGGTCGTGTGGTGCTGTCAAGATACTTGCCTGAGGCTCATCGTGCGTTCGGATCCAGCCGCAGACAGCTTCTGTAGGAGCTCCTGACATAGGCGCGGTGTCAAACCTGGACATTCCTGACAAAAGGAGAGTGTCGATGGTTCAGGGATGCTATTTCCTGTCTGTCTTTCCCTACATCGGGACAT